TCAAAACCCAACTCTCATGGCATTAGAAAGAGGATCATGAAAAACCTATAAAAAAATGGTTCATGAAATTTTAGTTCACTCATAAAGCTAAAGTCCGCCTGCTCTAGCAAAAAATGCCCACTGTGCAACGGCTGTCGGAGCAAATGAATATATTCTGTACCTCTAGTTATCACTTCTAGTTATCACTTTTTTCGTAAAGACATAGATGTACATGTAATTGATGGCACTAATTCTGAACATGATAGTGAGAGCAATACTTGCATCCATCCATAGAGACCGGTTTTTGAAAAATCAGGTCCTAAACAGGAAATCTTTCTTCCCTAGATTCTGTCAGATAGAAGAGCAGATCAATTTGTCTGTTACTGTGATGTTCATAGATAACTCTATAGGCTCTAGAAACTGACAGGATCGGAAATTGAGAAAAAGAAAGCTTTCCTGTTGGGGACCTGATTTTTCAAAAACCGGTCTCTATTGATCAAAGTACTGCTCCCACTATCATATTCAGACTTAGTGCCATCAATTACATGCACAATAATGCTGTAAACCAGTCTGACCCTCTGATATGCTTGAGACCAAATTCTTAAGCTTTTTCGACTTTTGCATCGCTTCTGTGTTATTGGGGTCCTTTAAAAAAAAACTGAGTTTTACCTCAGTATCTTGCATTGTCAGAAAATTGTAAGGCCGCAACACGGACATTCCGTGAAAATGTTCGTGGACGAAAAAATCTATTGCATCAGACACCCGTGAGAATGTAGCTTCAGATAGGAGATTTTTATTGAGATAACATGAGATCAGCTTGTAAATTGAGTTCGAACCTCAAACCAATTTTTCGTTACGGCATGACGTTATGATTTCTTATGTTTTATTACCCGCCCAACACCAGATCCATTGAAAATATGAAAACACCACATAGATCAAAGAAACGTAATATCAATGTTTCCAATTAGGCTGTTTTCCAATTCATTCCAACTAATTTATAGGCCGTAATACGTGAAATACCAGAAATGAGTTAATCAGATGCATTTACTATCATCTTGTTCAACATATTTACCGCCTCAAAAAAGTATCATGAAAAAACATAGGTGGAAATAATAAAGATAATTTTATAGACTATCGAGTGCGCTACAACATGGCATTCACTACTTTTTTTCTATTATTTTTACTTCAAACTCATTTTAATGAGGATTCACTTAACGTGCCCAAGCCGTCTAACAAATTTTAATAAATTTTACGCTTACCAAATCAATAGGAGGTATTTTTCTCGTATAAACTTTCATTTTTCCTTGAAATGCTTTATAAATAATACTACTATTTGGATTTTTTGTTCCATTTAATGTTAGATGTAAACCATTGAGAAACCATGCCAAAAATTCAACTGGATCACCTACATGAAATATACAAAAATAATAATAATAATTCGAACATAAATAAAAAAATGTTACCTTGCTGTGTGATCTGAAATTTTTTTTTACTACATTTAACTACCGCTTGTAACATCTCATGCGGCGAAACGTGTGCTTTAAAATTTTTTGGATTCCATAATTTTCTTACTAATTCACCAAAACGTTTAACTAAATTTACCATAATATCTCCCGGTGCAACTTTAATGTTTGCATAATTTTCTTCTTCAAGAAAAAAATTACGTAATGGACTCACATTGATCAATGCTTGTAAAATAACATTACAGTAATCATTTGCTTTGATATTATTAAGACCAACAATTCCTTAAAAAAATAGATCAAAACCGATTTATTAAATTTGTACAAAACTAATTATCTAATTTGTACCTGGCAAATATAGCGTTCCATCATAGGCACGAACCAATTTTGCATTTTTATCTAACTGTTCAATCTGTTCTTTTTTATATGTTGGATCTAAAACATACTTAAGACAAACAAAAAAAAATATACACAAATTCAATTTTTCAAATAAAAATATTTTACCTTTATATCATCTAATGATGAATCAATTATTTCATAATTATCGGGCAAACAATAAAATTGTAATGTATGTAAATTGATGAATACATGATGATCAATTTCAACACTATGAGTATAAGCATACGATTTTTGTCCACGACCTTAAAAGAGAAAATATATACCAACAGTTTTTCGTTATTTATTATTCAATAGTCACGTATACCTTGAAAATATTTTGCACATACTAAACATGCATAAACATTATTATTTGACAGTGTAATTGAACATAGTTTTTCAAAATCAAAATCAAGAATACTCCTAAAAATATATATTATAAATCATGCTTATATATATAATTCTCATTTCTAAGGATATTCATGTTATCCTAACTATATTTCATAGAAATTCATTTTCAAGATGACTAGGAGATATAAATAGTTATATTTTCTAAGTTTAAAGTAAATTTAACCTTTTTTCATATTCTAGCTTTTCTTTTTAAAAAAATAATATGGCGCCATAATCCTAGATGTTTTCGACTTTTTAGATAGAAAATTTGGTAAAATGGAACGAGGACAAAATTCGTATCAGAGAAAATGTCGTGATAATAACTATTATAAGGAATTTAATACTGAAAAATTCAATTTGGAAGAGTCCATTGAACATTTTATTCATAAAAATAAAATATGTCGATCATCTGTTGAACACTTTGTTAAAAACATACCAGAGAATGTCTCAAATAAAACCAGTATCAATTTGTGTACAAAAAAACTGCAATCAAAATATAATCAAAACACAAAGTGCAAGACAATAAACGATCGTTTCTCATTGTTCGAGAATGAAATTAATGTTTATTTTAATGATCAATTAAAACAAGTAAACGTGAATCAACAAGAAATAGAATCAAACAGTCTAACAAATGTGAGTCATAGTATTAACGATAGTGTGTGGTCAATGCTTGCTGTATGTGAAAATCAAATATCAAATGAAGCTATAGAATCAGAAACATCCAACTTTAATCATCATCAATGGTTGAATAAACGAATGTCAAGAAATAAAAATATTAATCGACAGTTTGACAGCTGTTATTCATCAACAAAAACACCGTTAGCAGATAAAGAACAACGACACTCGAAAAACCCGTACACGTTTAAACAACCATCATTAATTTTGAATCTACCATTGCAACAACGATCAATAGAAGAAAATGCATCAAAATTAAAAAATATTAGTCACTCCAGTGAGAGCAAGACGTGGATTAGAATAAAATATGGCGTTCGCTTTTCTCTAGTACAACAACGAACATATTATATACACACAATCTTTTCATGTTCTTTTTTGTTTTTTAGATGTACAAAAGGATATCAAGAAGAACAAATTTTTGATCTATGAAACTAGCTCTAGTGTTAACACCGATTCATCGAGTTCAATATCACAAATGAAAAAAAATGATACTAAGAAAAATCTGAGACTAACTTTAAATTCATCAAAAACAGAATGTACACCGAATATGTATGTGAAACGAACGATGACCGAAGATGAAAATGTCCACGTTATTAATCGAGCAAAATCCGCTGGACAACTATTAAACAATATTGATCATTCAATAAGTGGTAGGTCTATAATCGAAACTTTTATAGAGTCTAAGTTATGAATATAGTGACTTTGTTCTCTAACGATCAATCAACTGTGTTCTTTTTCTAAAGATACAATTTCGAAAAAAATTGTTGCAAAAATAGACGCCCTATTAAATGATCTTAAAAAATTTGATTATAAAATATCAACTGAAAGAAAATTATCAAAATATATTGCACATTATTTGAGACAAAAAATAAAAAATGTTCAAACGAATCTTACAGACGATATTATAAATGCCTACATCTCTTTTAAACAATTTATTTATGAAAAATTAACATCATCACTTAAAAATCGATATTTACATACACCATTATCTACAACAACGTCGAAACTAACAATTAAATCCAAAAATTTAGCAGCAAACTCAATTTTAACAGTACCGTTAACATCCAACACTGATCAATCATCAATTTCATTCAATAAATTAAATCAGAAATTCTCATTATCAAATGAATATAAAGCACATAATGACAACATCGATAAATTATTGAAGCAAATTCGACAGTTAGAAAAAATATTTTTAAATTTGAGAGAACAAACATACAAAACTAATGATGATACAACGATAGATCGAGAAAAATCAAAATTAAAACAAACAGATATACTAAATAAACTGAATAAATTAAATGAAATTTTAAGGCAAGTTTTATCGAAAGTTCATTATGCAAAACAACAACAGCAGAATAATACAAACAGGACACAAATGAAAAATTCATCCAAATTCAGGTACGATAGAGAATTCATTCGCCATATATAATAGTTTTATAAATATCAAGATTGGCCGTTCGTGTTTGATAAAGTTTGTATGAGCATCAAATTCTGCAGAATTTAGATGATATGTTGTTACTGAAGTCTTTTTTGTCTTTTACTTATTTCCATAATTATTGATAGAGTCTTTCTAATACAATTATAGAAACTTTATAAACTTTCGTGGACGGCAAACCTCCGCAAAATGTGTAAATGGACAACAACAACGTCCACGAAGTAGATCATTACACGACACAAAGTATCTTGTTAACAGAGAAATACTAGATTACCAAAGAAAGACTGCTATTCAAAGTGAATATCCGTGTCATAATAAAAATGTGTTTATAAATGATTCGAGAAAATGTCTTTTGAAAAATATGTCAAAAGAGCGAAAAATTATAGAAACAGTTCAGCCACTTGATCAAAAAAATTCGTTAAAAGAAAACTATTCAATACAACGGCATGCAGGTGAAAAATCATTAAAAAATTTTTTAGAAATAACATTTCCACACTCTGATCCGCTTAAAGTTTTAAGACTAGCTACATTACTTGCCAATAGAATAAAAATACAATAACAATCATACCGATTAATTGTATCCAAATAAGGACAATTTCGACTTCTTACATCGACAGTTGACGTTTCAGTTGGTCGACGAAGTTCTTTCAGTGTTAAACTAGTTCGAACTAAAAATAAAATAAATCATAATGTGATACGAATTACTATGACTGTTGAATTACGTACATTTTTTACTCTTTGTTTCATGTTGATTGATAGAGTCAAGTGGACGTTTTAAACTCTTCTTTGTTTCATTTGTCATATTTTCAGTAGGCATTCTATTAGTTTTTTATCTGTAAAGCATAGAATTATATTAATTACAAAAACCGACGGCTCCTTTAGACTATAATAAACGTAGATAAAAAGAAATGTTTTTCCGTTTGGCCGAAAAATATCAGTCTCTCTGTGAGAGAACAAAATGTCTGCAAGAGACCAGTACTTACTTGCAATTCTCCTCCTCAGGTGATTGTGGTGGTCAAGTTTCACCTAGATAGGGAAACAGGAAATGTAGTAAAGTTTCGATTTTTTATTGTCAATTGTAATTGCTTAAATAAATCGATATTGTAAAAGTAAATGAGAAAATAAAATAACAACAATAACAATAAAAACACTTCAAGTTTAAAAATAAACAAACAAAAGAACGACAAAAATGATGAAATGACTGATTTATAAGTAGATCAAACATCAATCTAATGTTTATAAATAAAGTCCTTCTGGTGTGCCTTGATTTTTACGATATAATACAGTTTCTTTGCTTTTACGAAAATCTTCATTTGTCACTTTCATTCGACGTTCACGTAATGCCATTAAACCTGATTCAGTACAAATGGCCTATAAAGGGAAAACAAAGACGAACAAAATAAAAAATAATGTTAGATTTTATCAAACAGCAATGCCTACAAAATATCCAACAAAAAATGTCTTCTTGTTTAACTTACTTTGATATCAGCACCTGACAAATCGTCTTTAGCCATAATCAATTCTTCCAGATTAACATCATCAGACAATGTCATCCTACCAGTATGTATTTTAAAGATCATTCGACGTGTTTTTTCATCTGGTAATGGAAATTCAATTTTGCGATCAATTCGGCCAGGTCGAATCAATGCTGGATCCAATGAATCAATACGATTAGTTGCCATAATAACCTAGGCAAATTTAATGTGTTTACGATGTTTTTCTTAGATAATTCGCTCACTTTAACATCTCCTCGTGAATCAAATCCATCCAATTGATTTAATAATTCTAACATAGTTCGCTGAATTTCACGTTCACCACCAGAATTCGACTCATAACTAAACAGAATAAATTAAACGTATATGTTTGTCAATTTGTCTACTAAATATACCGTTTTGTTCCGATGGCATCAATTTCGTCAATAAATACAATAGCTGGTGCATATTCTTCCGCAACACGAAACAATTCACGAACTAGTTTTGGACCATCACCCTAAATGAATGAAAATTTCTTGTTTTTTGTGGTTATCAGAATATTCAACAGATCCTACCAAATATTTTTGAATTAATTCTGAACCAACGACACGTAAAAATGTGGCCGATGTTTGATTCGCAACAGCTTTTGCCAATAGAGTTTTACCTAAATAGAAATAGAAATTAAATATTTAGTTCACATCCGATAAATTCATTTACCTGTTCCTGGTTGTCCATATAATATAACACCTTTTGGAGGCTTAATACCCATTTCTTCATAGTATTCTGGATGTGTTAATGGTAATTCAACAGCTTCCTAAGTACAAACATGAGTAACAAACGATGATCAACAGGAGAAAATAACGGTTCAGTTAAACGTACTTTAATTTCTTGAATTTGTTGCGTAAGTCCTCCAATATCAGCATATCTACAACAATATTTATATAAGAATTATTCAATTAAAAACGATACTAATCCATACGTTTCTTTTGGTGCCTTTTCCAATTTCATGACGGCAACCATTGGATCAACATCGTCACCTAAGACGCCAATAACAGCATGAACCTAAATGATGGAGAGCAGCAATGCTAAATGACGCATGAGAGAATTAGTGCCTAAATACTTTATGATTTAACAGTACGGTGCATCCAGGCTCAAGCTGATCTTTATCAACGAATGACATTATTGTGACATAATGTTCAGAACCAACTGATGTTGACACAATAGCATGATTATCATCAATTATTTCTTCTAATGTACCCACTGCCATTGGGCTACCTCGAATATCATCAACTTTAGATCGTTCTTCCTAAAACAAATAGTAATCAAACATTCGATCCGTGTTCAAATACTTTTTCCATTTTTCCTACTTCATGTCGATCTTCTTGTGGTTTTAAACGTTCTTGATTTTTAATAAATTCTTCTTCTAATAACAAATAATCTTTAATTCGTTCAAAACGTAATTGTTTTAAACGACATCGAGTGTAAGGTAATACTTGTGGAAGTTTATTAGCTGCTTCTGGACCTTTAACACGTTTTTTTCGTTTGCCAATACGTGTCGGTATTGGTGGTTCATATTTCTTTTTCTATAAAAAATTGGCAAAATCGTATCGAGTTATCTTTAGAAAGTGTGTACATACTTCTTTATCTCCAGTTCCATCGCCACGTTTTTGTCCACCAGATGATTGATTACCCTAGATTGGACAACAAAAATTATCTAATATATTTAAAGAGAAGTTGATAAAACTCTCACCATTCGTTATCAATTCTCAAAAATCCTAATTAAACTGTTTATCTGAAAATAAGATAGAAATAACTTCAAATTAAAAGCAATGAATGACGTGAATTTTTCTCTTTTATATCATTAAAAACACATATCTAATTAGTTTTTGTTTCTACTATAAAACATTGGAAAGAAATACAAACGTTTTTGATTTATTTGGCTACACAAAAATTAACGTTTTATATACATTTTGCGGACAACAAAAAGAATGCTCCGGCCCTATGCACTGACTATTTCACATCACTTATCTCCATCTTTTTAAGTAAAGTCGTGCTCTTTCACCGAAAAATTGTGTATCCAGAAGAAGAAATGACAAACAATTATAAAAACCAACACATAATGGGACAACTTATTAAAACATGAATGAATAGTAACAGTATTAAGAGAAAATCTTTGTTCGATATTTTGTACATTCAAAAATAGAAATGGTACGCTTGATATATTATAAAGTTAATTATGTGGAGCATTTACACGATGAATATGATCACCGTTTGGAGCTGTTTGATCATTGTAAGACGATGTTACTGATCCATCTTGTACACTTGGACGACGATGATTAACATCTTCTTGAACAGCTTCTTCCCAAGATTCATGTTTAACACCATCTGATAACTGTAGAAAACGAACATGAATTGCTTGATATTTTTCATTTTTAGGTGGCATCAATATTTTCTTATACGATACAACATCACCGGCTTTTGGTACATAATCATCTTCAATACTGAAAGAATGAAAAAAAAAAACAAGAATAAAAGGTTATCCACACAACAGAAATCAAAATGATAGTAGAAGATCAGTCATTCCGCGTTACGTAAGAGGAAAGACAAAAAAGTTGAATTGTACGTCAAAGAGAAGCGAGTAAACGCTTTTTCGAGTAGAAAAAAATGTAAAACTGAATATATAGATGCAAGCAACAAAAAGAAGCTACATTCACATCGTTTAGACAGCCACTGAATTTTATATTATCCAGCAAATTTTCTAGTGGTCATCCTTTTCATCTTTCACATCAAAGGCTTTCACGTATACATAGTTGTTTTGTTGATGTTTCTAATACACAGAAAAGATAAAAAGACATTCTAGAATAAATTAGTTTTTATCTATCGACTTACTCGGAAACATGAACGAAAATACTTTCTGAATTATCTCGAGGTTTAATATGACCATGACCTTTTTCACGACAAAAATCTTGAATAATACCTTCGTGCGATGGATATTGAAGAGCACGCTCACACCTACACAACAAAAATAAACCAACAATATATCAATATCTATTAATGATATAGTAAGTAAATAACTATTCTTTCATTCTGGCTACGTCACTGATATCTACATATGCTTACTGCGATAAGGACCGTTCACGACGTGCCAAAAGTGGATTAATTTGAACATCGCCTGCAGATCGAGGCGATAAAGACGATGAAGAAGGAGAATGAGACATCTAGAAAAAGAAAGCATTTAAACAAATGATTTAAACAATTAGACATAGAGATCTCTTTCATGGGAAAAAAAATGACCCCCCAAAAAATACAATAACAAATTATTATTTCTTTTCTAACTGTAAACAAACAACTAATTATTTAACAATGATGTAAAACGATATTGTTTTGGAAATGGATCATTTTTAGAAATGACGAAGAAACGAAATTTATGACTGATATAACCTTTGATCATTCCACTTTGTACCATTATATTCAAAAGATCAATTAGTTCATTTATTGTATACAATTCATTTTGTTGAAAATTTAATAGAACCAATAAGCATGACTCTAATGGTATCTTTGTTAATTGTTGTTTTTCGATTACCACAAGATAATGTCGAAATAAATTTCGAATACAAATCAATTTAAGATTCTCGATTAAAAATAAGAGACCATTATCAAATAATTCTTCTTCATATTGTTTTATTCTCTCATTAAATAATGCCAACGATCCAATTTTAATTGGATATATCAAATTATAGAGTGTTGTCAAATTGTATTTTTCAATTATTTGTAATTTTGGAGTAAAACCATATAACATTTTACATATAGTTAAATATAACAACGTCTTTTGTTTATTTTTAATTGATGATGTCTGTGAATAAGAATTTTTAAATACATATTCAAAATGTTCAATTGCTTCATCATAACGATGTTTGAACATTAGAGATTTTGCCAAAAAGTACCGATAAGTCAAGATGTACGATGAATAAATGACAGGTGATGTACGTGATTCTTGTTGCGTATGTTGTTTTAATAAACGTTCGCCTGAAACACAATACAAATTCGTGTTGACAAGAAAAGAACGTCTTCTCTATTGTTTGTAAGTTCTGCTGTCTCTCCCTTTCTAGTTAACAAATGAAAAAATGTGAAATAAACCTCAGATTTAGCTACCTTTTGGAATGCAATATGTGCAAAGATTATGTTTTTGAATTGAATAATATGCTTTTAACAATTGGTTAATTAATATAAACATGCCAAATTTTTTCAAACTTGACGTAGATTGTAAATCCACACCCGTTGAGGGTAAACGTTGGACAACATTCATAGCTGATGATATTAAGTTAATACATGTTGAGACTGTACTATTATTTGTAAGATCATCATCGAGGTCAGTATTCTCATTGTTTATATCATTATTATAGTGAACAAGTAGTGATAATAAACGTAATTCATGTACAATACGATTAAATACTGGTAGTAAAAAAGTAGGTTCATCTGGCATATTATTCAAGGACGTTATTTGTCTACCTCCGTACTCATCATTTTCATTATCGGATAAGCCTGCTACTGATTTTGAATAATTATTGAAGATTGCTAATAAACTGTGAAATTTTTTTAATTGATACTGATAGGCTTGATTTACATCATTTGCATTTAATCGTTGACAAACTAACCAATGATTTATTGCAATCGTTTTCCATATATGATCAATACCAACTTCAACATTATCAGGACTAGTATCATTTGGTGTGGGACTAAAATCAATTGTAGAAATTTTATGCATACGTGATACATTTAAGAGATCTTGCAATAAATTTCCATCATGTAGTTGAGCAGTATTGAGAATAGAATCAATAAAATCATGTTTCGTTCTTGCATAGATAAAATCATCCCCAACATCAGATGTGTCTTGAGCATCTGCGTAGGTTTCCATTTTGTCAATCTAGAAATAATAAATTAAATGTTTTATTAAGAGATATGTTCTTGCATGTGTGATAAGCATTTAATCAAAAAAATATATGGGATTCGTTCAAATGCTTGAAGGAAAAGCCATCGAGTTGTGAATGCGATCAAAACAGTAAATAACAGTTGTTTTCGTGGGAACAACTGAAACACTGCCGATTAAAAATCTTAGAGTGTAAGAAAACTATTGCTGGAAAAGATGTTTGTCATAATCATAACTCACATGTCTACAAAATAGCTTTTTCAAATTCGATTTAAAAGTAAAATATCACGTTGTTCTCTCAAATAATTAATAAACAAGAAGTCAGAAGTGCATTCATGAGCCAACAACTAACCTCAAACATTTTCAAGTCGTCATACGAACAGTATAAAGTAAAAAACATTGTTTTCTGGATTTTTTTTTTTATTAGCCTCTATTCCACCATTCTTTTTTATTATAATCGTCTCTTTCCATGTTGGCTTGTTCATCTAATACAGCTCTTAATACTGTACACAATTCGGAACAATTTGTTCCATGTTTACCAGCAATCGGAACAATATGTTTAAATTCGAAAAACTTCTTTGGTCTCCATTTTTCTTCGTAATCTCTTTCTAATATTTCTTTGTAATTGTCTAAATAATAATGAATTTCTTTCAATTCTTCATCATTATCAGGATTTTCTAATTGATCAATTTTGTTTATAGCTAATATAGCGGGTTTATCTAATAAACTTGGTTCATATAATTCTAATTCTTTTGTTAAAAATACAATTGAATCAAATGCTGTACGTAATGGTGAGTGAAAACTTAATTGAAATCCGTTTATGTCAATAACAAATAATAATATTTTTGATCGTATCGTATGTTTTAAAAATCGAGAACCTAATCCAAATTTAATATGAGATCCTTCAACGAGTCCGGGTAAATCGGCAACAGTAAACGATCGACCATCTTCAAATATCACTGTTCCTAATTGTGGATCAACAGTGGTAAATGGTGAAGCAGATATAGCTGGTTTTGTACGTGATAACATAGATAATAATGTTGATTTACCGGCATTTGGATATCCAACAAAACCAACATCAGCTAATAATTTTAAATCAAAATTAATCATCATTGACGTGCCTGGTTTACCAACAAACATATTTTTGAATGTACCACCAGCTCCTCCTGCAGCAACGACACATTTATCATCAATATCTAATATTTCATCAATTAATTCATCGTTATCTTTAACGATCTGAATACCCAACGGGACATGGATAATCAAATCTTTACCCGATTCGGCGTTTAGCGAAGCTTTCGAACTATTAAAACCATCTTGTGCTATATAACGTTTTGTCAAATTCTTTTCATAAACTTGTTTCAATGATAAGTTTTTTTTACCCATTATAATGACATCACCACCTCGCCCACCAATACCGCCATACTTTTTTAGTCCCTGTCCGCCAGTACCACCACGAACATAGACACGTAGTCGATCTAAAAAATTGATAAACAAACCATTTCTGTTATTTTGTACTTTAAGAAAAAAAGAAAACTAACCGATAAATGGTAAATTCAAATATTTTCCCAAATCTTTCGAAGGAATTTTATGCAAAGTAGGACTCAAATTCAAATACAACACGCGTGTGAAATACATTTAATAAATCATCTAAAATAAATAAGTGTAAATATTGGCATGTATTTTCCACGTAACTTGCAGAATAAAAGTAGATTTATATAAAATTAAAAGTAGTTTTTTAACACGCGAAAAGACGAAGCTGCGGATTCTTAGCCATATTCACCGATAGAATAATTTTCACTACTTTTCAAAGGTACTTTTTCTTTAAGAAGAAAAAAGGAGACAATGTCTGGTTAAAGGCTGTTGTTGTTAACCTCTTCTGTTTGCTAAAAAAATGTTTATTCAATGTTTGTTCAGGATGTAATATTGTCATCGAGACTGTCTCAACTATTTGAGTATTAAAAAGAGTGATAACAGTATAGTATGGAAAAACATGCAATACATCACGTTTTATCTAGTGCACAGAATTTGCATACAATTAATTTTCATAATAAAACTAGAATACTTTTCTTCGTTTTTTGGAAATTTTGCATGGTATTTTACGGAACTTTCAAATATTTGTTTGAATAAAAGTCATAGTAATATTCATTTACGTTCATGTCATTGAAATAATGAACGGATATGGCTATGTGTTAAACCTAACAACAGTTCTTTATGTACGAATTTTTCTGGTTTTCGAATTCATGGAAAAGTTTTTATCTAAAAGTCTTCATTTTCTAAAATCTGTTTTGAAATCCATTCGTAAACGACAAAAACCTATCACATGGATAATTACATATATTGAAATAAACTCTCGTCGAATACATAAAAAAAGCATTATTTTGTTCAGTGCTCATAAAAACTCGAACAGTGATGCTAAGAGAGTTACGTTATTCTTTTAGATTAAGATTTGTATAAACAAAGAATAATATTAGTATTTATTTTACCGTACATTTCGAAAATCAAACGTATATTTTGTTTTTTTCCAGATAATTTATGCCGATTTAAAGCAAATGATATTTATCTGTTGACTGATGAATCATTTTTGTTCGTCATAATATAAACAAAGGAACGATAGGCAGAAACGGTGGTGCTTCGCGGATTTTTTGTTTATCTAATCCACCTCAAATAAAAAAAAACATTCGGTGTGACTCATTTACTTACAAAATACCATATAGATATCTACGATGAAGAAAGAGAGAGACAGAATTAGAGAATAAGTATGAACTTTAAGATTAAATGTGTGGAAAAAAAGAGAGAATCATTTTTCTCACTATTCCCAATCCATCTGCCTATCAGATCAACAACGATATGAATGAAAAGAGCATATCAATACCAAAGAAATCACTATGTTTATTTTCAGAATTCTCCCTCGTGACTGACCTTGATTTCCATCACTAGTGATTTCTTTTCAGATTTCGAGAACATAGACTTTGAACACCGCGAAAATAACAATGTGTACAGGTATACTTAGCCAAAAAATTTCATTAAAACCACTAGTAGAACTCTCGTAATGAAAATTACTAAGAGAGACTGAGATATTCAGTACTTTTCACTGTAACTGACCAGAGAAAATAAATACCAACATATTTCTTGTTTAAGTACAAAAATTTCATCAAAAACCAATCTCCATATATTTTATTTTGTTGTATTCATTGCACGAAATCATTCATTCTTTGCTTTTCTACATCCAGTAATTACACTTCGAGAGAATGAATAGAGGGAACTATTTCATTGGTGTAATTAGGAGCTAAAATGTAGTATTCAACAGATGTCCTTCCTTTGTATCAACGAGTAAATTAGTAATACTATAATAATAAGTCAGAAAGAATTTTTTTACAAAAGTTGATTTTATTGGACTGATCCAAACAAATGTTCGCAATAATATTAACAGAAAAATAGTTAGCTGCTACTGTACATTTGAATTCAGGCAAAAGTGAGTGATCAGTACAGTAAAGTACACAGCATTCTGGCTAATAAAAATCATTTCCGTTTTGTGCTTAGCGTAAACATAAAAATTAGGTTGTATTGTATCCCGCTAGCCGTCAAAGATAGCCAAGCTGTCAGGAGTCACTTTCTGTGTCTTTTCACGTAGAAAGTGGCTCCTGACGGTTATCTTTGACGGCTTTGACGGCTAATCAACGTGAAATTTATTTCTGAGTCCACTATTTATTATGTGTTATTGAACATGTATCGTTAAAGAGAAAACCTTTTCCTGAACCGGTAGTCTAAGATATGTAAAATTTCCAAAAGATACATTTTTAAGAACAGGTGAGAAGCGATTCTTTTTTTTTATAGATCAAGGCGTTGATCTATAAACGCCATACGCGTATGGCGTCAGCCTTCTACTTTGAAAAATATGGTGAAAAGATAATTCAGAATAGTAAAATTCTTGTGCCACAAATAGTATTTGAGAAAAAAAGCTATTATTTAGAGGTAAGGTCAAGCTTAAAACGGAAACGTTGTTCAAGTTCCCACGTACGATCATAAACTGAACAAGGATATAATTTATCAAGATGATACAGAAATTAGCGAAAATATTTCTATAACAGCAACACATTGTTATATCCTCTGTAGTCGTCAAAGCAATTGACACATTGAACAAGATGTCTGATGAATACGTGTTTCGCATATAGCATGCATATGAAAAAATGATTGAAGTAACTGATTGGCGTGATATTTCTTATGAAAAATTTAAATTAATGCTGTAGATGGGAATGATAAAATCAAATTTTATTCTTGAAAGAATTTGGGAACATATACCATTTTTTCTACACCGGAATAGTATATGAATTTATTTATTAAAAATGGTAAAATGCACGAGAATGACAGCATATTTCTTAGTCTTTGATAAATCTCAGACTAATAAATAATCTAAACAACAACCAATTTTTATTTAACCACCATGTGTTTTTGTTTTAAGCCTTTCTTTCTTGATGGTATTCATAGATACTCTTCGGAAAGAAAAGATTAAAGTAATTTTGAACCTCGTTTGAAATGCTTTTTATGCGAAAGTTTTAATTTTGAATTGTTCGATTTTCTTTTTCGATCTGACTCATTTAAAATGGTTTGTTGTGTTGATTTATCATGTAGATTTTCAAAATGGTAACTGTTGTATTCATCTTCTTTGGAGACTTGTGCGCTTGCTAAATCGAGCGCATTAAGAATATTTGATGTATCCGTCTCATTTGTTATCGATTGTTTACTGCATTGTGCTGTTTGAGTTAAATTTTGGACTAAAAAGGTTTTGGAATTTTTGCATCCATTAGTATTCGTATTAGTATCATTATCAGAAACTAATGCTAATGAATCTGGTATCGGATATCCTTTATGATTTTTATAATACTGTTGATTATTTGACGATGAAATATTTGACATCTCTTGACTGTCTGAAGTTTCATTTGACTTTAGAAACGATTCGAATTCTACATTTTCAACTTTTTCTAATGAAATAGTATGTTTCGTGGAATACGATTTTGTCGATGATAAATTGTCCCAATCGTACGGTCTAAATAACTTTGATTCTGATTTAATTTTAGAAATATCCTTAATCTTGACTTGATCAACATCATTAAGTTTAGTCTCATTGAATATCGGATGAACCTACAAATTGCTATTCTTAATTTAAAAACCTGATTATGACTTTGACTATAAGTCATCAAAATTTTCAACCCATTTTAAGGGAGATTACGACAAAAACTTTCAGTACCTCAGATATTGATACATTCTTCTTTGATTCGTCATTTTTTTCATCTTTTTCAGTTGTGGCTATTGCTAACTGATCTCTAAAATGATATCCCGCACTGTTTAATCAACATATTCAATTTTATTCATATTACCGAGGTATATCCGGCTTCAACATTGTATTCCAGTTGGTTCGTGGCATTAGATAGGGTAATAGGCCAGGTTGATAAAACACATTTGTAGATCGATAGGATTCGAGTGCGTCATGTCGTCTTTGAAAATTCGAAAATAAACGAAATTTTACACATGGCGACTACACTTTACCTGTTCATCAACATAAAATTAAATAAATCGTTTGTTGTATCACCATATGGTCCGTAAATTCGACGAAGGTCTTCCCTTTTCCCGAACTGGAGTAAAAAGAGTTTTTTTCCAAAATTAATCACATATAGCAAGAAAAAATAATTACCTCGCTCAAATGCTGTGAATATAATCGAATGGTTTGATCACCGTGTTGACATGTTGTTAGTGATGATGCTTGTGGTAGTGGTAAATGAGACGGGTAAGCATTGTTAGATGAATTAACAACATCAGTTTTTCGTTTTCCTTCTCCTTTTTCGGCTAATTTTTTTAGTGCATCAGCAAAACTCCCTGGTCTCATATGTTTTCCAGCTTGCCAAGCGTCGAATGGCAAATTGAACATTGTTATTCCTGGTATAGATAGAAAACAACAAAATAAATTATTCAAATCTAGATTTCGTGCTATTATACATTATTAGGAAAAAACTTTTAATTTTCAGAAGTCTAAACCAGTTCAACGATAAATAATCGAAATATAGAACAGATGTCAGAAACGTGTCGTATTTAAGACGTTAACAGATCGGTTGTTGAGTGACCGTTAATAAAACAACATTTATGTTTGGCTTGAGAGTTGATCTCATTCATAGATTGAATAAGGATATCCACGAATGTAATAGATGAATATTAAAAGTGCGGTTTGAGAACAGCACGAGCAGGTTGTTTTTCTAGCACGCCTCTTTTCCAAATATTAGATGTACCGTATATACGACTACCTGCTCTTTCCTTTCTCGAACTCTTTCAAAATCTTTCCCATTAATAAACTTTTGATGAAGCGCTTTGACTCTCCCAACGTGAACTTAATATTAAACTACGGTTAATACCATATTCACACGTCCGTCTTGTCTAATACTAGTTTGATGCCTTGTGAATTTAATTGTACAAAAATTTCAAAGATATCAAATCAAATGTGCAAAAAAATCAGTAAAGTATGTATTGTACATTGCGTGTATGCGCTTAAATACTAAGAGTTTCAAGTAAGCTCAAAGTTTCATTAGCTGTTTTTTATCAACTGAGTATCAAATATTTATACAAAAATCTATAACGAGTTTTTAAGTTTTCCATTTGAACACAAAAAAACGAAGAAAAAAGTATTATCTTCAAAAAATGAGGAATGTCTTTTACGTCAGGATAAAAACTAGAGACAAAGAGAACGTAAACAAAAGAAGGCACATGGGTCATCTTTTTGTTCACAGTTGGTGAATAGAGATTTCTGGTTTGTGAGTGAGACGTCGTCAGTCGCGTAACGATGGCAATGTAAACTCTTCTACTTCTGAAACTTTTCCTTTGTCTTATGTTTTTGAAATACCTTGTACGTTTTAACATCAGAGCAGTTTAAAAGATAATTTAAAACTAGCATATATGGACGCCTTATTGATCACACCACTTGCAAAAAAAGTGAAAAGACTGATTTTCATATAAATTCACCCAGGAGTACTTAAATTTTCCACTTGTACTGAAAAGGTCTGATGCAAGTGATAATTATTCCTACGATAGTGGAAAAAAGTTTTTTCTTTGTTTTATAAAGAATTTAAAGTTACTGCCAAGCTGGTGTGCTATCAGTTAGGAACACTTGTGATTCATCTACCCAAGCAAAAACGATTCAATTTTTTGGGTTATTTATCTAAATTCAGTTCCACGTAATTCAGCTCCACGTACATCTAGATGCACGTGGAACTGAATTTAGATACATAACCCAAAAAATTGGGTCGTTTTTGCTTGGGTAGATTAGTTATGATAACCCCTGGTCCTTCATGAATTTTATGACATTTTTAACCTTTCTCATTTTGCTCAATATCCTCAATGATATCCTACCTTTGCGTAAAATAAAAAATTTCAGTTGCAAAATTATAACTATTTGTGCGACTGTGTTATACTTCGTATTTACATACTTAAGCCATTCGAAGGAACAAAATCTTTAGCTACACGTTGAAAATAAAATATTTATAAAAGGATCTTCCGTAACGTTTCAAATTTAAATTTTACAACTTTCTTAAACATTCAAAATAATCAACCCTTTTTTCTCTTAAACTCAAATAGAAAGTAAATCAGTCCATCATAAGAATGAGCAGAAAAACTGTATCGATCAAATTCACAAAAAAGAACAGTCGCTTTCCGCTCATATTACTGATTAAACTGAATTTCAATGTCGCTTAACTTCATTCTACATTTTTTCTAATATGATTATCTTAAAAAGCATGAAATTCTAAATAAAATGAGTTTCACCACTCTGCACAGCTAACTCCAGCTGAGTTATACCTCAATATTTTTTCAGACGATAATTTATTGCTTTTTCGCACAGATTTCATAGTGATAATGATAATTGCTGCTCAAAATGACTGATGTGATCTAGTTAGTTGTGGAAAGTTGTTAAATGATATATTTTATTTAGAATGTCATCGCTTTTCATTTTTTCCGTATTTTTTGAAGAATGATAAGAGTTTCAACAAGATTTGCTCTCGCTTCACACAAAAAGATTCTTGGGGCTTTTGTTAGCTGATAGATGCAAAAAGTACTTTCAATGAAACATTCTTTTGCATGTATGCTAAACATAGGTAGTTAAGTAACTATTCGATTTAGTAAATCTTAGAAACGACGCCATGGTATAAATCAAATCATATATTTCGATGAAAGAAAATTACCTTACCTTGCGATATTAAGACAAATCGATTAATTTTGACAGCTACTGAGTGTGCTTTCTCTTTGAACTTGTTTAGAATATCAAAAATATTATTGTATTACAGTTTAAGAAAAAAAGATCTGTAGTACAGGAATTTTTTCCGATTAATTCTTCTGCACAATTCTTAGAGTAATAAAGAAAAAAAGACAAACCGTTTTTGTCTTTTGTGACTAAATAGGAACAGTGGTCTGTCAAGATAGAAATTGTGTTAATCAAAAAGAAAAAAAAATGAAGAATTGTTTGCTATGTACTCAAGAAGCAAAAAAAAGAAAAAAAACTAGAAATATCTCATTGAAAACTAAACGGAAATATAAAGAATAATTTGATTGTGAAATTGATTGGAATTCTCTCAACACTTGTAGTTACATGATTTAACACATACAACACAAGCACAAAGTACTAATCTTTTTCAATACTCGAGTTCTTTTCGATTCAAATCACTTTTCAATTATTTTCTACATTCTTTCGCTTGTGAAGTGTAAAAAAATTATTAGCCATTAGCACTGTTAGAAAGAGATACTTCAAACGCAAGAATTGTATTCAGAGATCATTGTTTTTAGCAACTGTTGAAGAATGAGTGAAATGTTCGTCGATCGCAAGTTCTGTTAATTTGATAGATAAACTCTTTCCTTTTTGGACACTGTATAAATTGAAACTATAGTTTGACTAGATTTATTCCAGATTTTCTACTATTCAGTTAAATATTGTATTATTGAAGGATATCATTAGATGTGTTAAACATACATATAATCGAGCTATGCTACTCAGTATACACATAAGAATGTGTGTGTTGAGAATAGATGAAAGGATGCAGAGTTGCTTCGATAATGTAGTTATAATAGATAAGATTAGCTCTTTTAATTAAGCATGGTACTGAGGGTTAAGATTTTGATGAATTACATAACATGTCATCTAGTGGTCGAAACTTACCTACAGCGATATTTTTTATTTTTTACGTTAAGAAGAGAAATATACCATCACTCGGCAGACTTGTGTTTGTACTTTTGCACATGTAATGTAAAGTTTCATGATTAACAATCATTCTGTATTAATTATATATTAATTTATGAATGATAATTTCTGCATCAGAGATGAATTCTGAAGACACTATAAGTTCTGGTTCTATATTATCAGCTCATTTATTCTCCGAACGTTATACAAATCATTTGTTTAATCCTGTTTCTTCACTCTTATAGTAATTGTGGGGAACAGAACATATGCTAGAATTCTTGCAGAGAATTATCATTACGACGAGGTTGGTTGTATGATACGCTGTATTTGCATTTTATAAGATAGAATGAATTGTACTCTTGAAAACCTTCATATAGGAAGTCGCAGATTGCTTCAGGAAAATGAACAGCAACGATTAATACATAATCATTAATGTCTTTCAGAGATCGATTGAATTGTTTGTACTGCTTTCTTAAAAAATTGTATTCTCCAAAACTGACAAAAAAGGATTTTGAGCATTCAGAAGTCAAAAGAAATTTCCAAGGATTTTGTAAGGTTTCCGACGCTTAAAGGATTCGGACATTTGCTTGGACCTTTTGATGGGCTCCCGAAATTACCTTGCGAAACCATTTCGGTTCTCAAGAATGAGCGGAAAACCCATCTTGGCTTCCGGATGATCAAAAAAGCCTTTTTTATCGGTTCTGGAGAATACGATTTTTTTTTAGAGTGTGCTAATGTTTCGCAGTTGTGACAAATCCACTTTTAGCTACTATACGGTAATTTAGGCATAAAACGGTAATTTTTTACGTAAATTAAACATTCCGTTCAGATTCTGCATTTGGTTCACTACTAGCAGGCCCTGAATGACTTTAAAGTTTTCCAAGCTTTTAAGTAATACATTTTGTTGACGATTTTGAACTCAAAAGTACTCACCCTCAAGTAATAAAAGTTTTACATTTTTACAGTAATATGTACATTCCTTGCAAGACTAGGGTGTTCATGACCTTCCTACAGTTCATCTGCGACAGTGCTGCAGAAAAAACGGGAAAAACGAAGGAAAAAATGCACTGAAACATGATTTAGCACCAGATTTTAAAAATTGAATATTTTGGAATTTCTTCACCTTTAAAATTGTTTTAAAAAAATTAAGAATGCCATTTTCCCATGTAACCCGATGACCCACCAACAATGTTATGTTATAGTAATAAAAAAAATTCTTCTACCTTTTTTCATTGCCAGCACTTTATAACGATGTCACTACCTCCATTCCCCCGTTTATACAAATAATATTCATTTCGATGAACTATAGTCTACATACTTTACTTTAGTTTTTGAATTACGCTACAAAAGACCTATATTATAGTAAACTTTAAAGTTTGATTATATGAATATTATCACTCATAACAAACTAGCCCTACTCAACGGTCTATCCATAAAAAATATGAAATTTCATTGTTTGTCTGAAAGAACAAATAGAACTTGATTGGACTGGAAAACACCATTAATAAAGTCAGTTTTTCGCACATGGCGCCCACGTAGCGACCACGCAAATTCAGTACTATACCATGTAAGCGAAAAATACCTGAATTTGACATTCCAAACTTAGGCTTGTATTAGTAATTAACTATTTTCTGGCATATAAGTATTGATATCTATTCACACTTTGTTAGAAACAATAAAGTTCACTGAGGCTTTGCTTTCAGATTCCAACCGATCACTAGAAGTATTCAAGGTAGCTGATTTTCATGGCGAAAGCACGGGAGCGATTATCTGATGAAATCGGCCCATGTCTGAATTTCATCGATTAATCAAAGACCAGATGTAGAATGAAGAGGGAAATATTTCTAGGTACTTACTAGATCTTAGAACCCTCCTCAGAAAAAAATTGGCCTAATCAAATTTGTTAAGTTTCTACTGCATCTGATATATATTATAGAGCGTAGTTTTGGATCTTTCTCTCTCAGTTTCAGAATTCCTCACAACTATTATATATCATTCGGAAGCTCTTTTTCTTCGCTATATTTCTGTATACAACATATACGGAAATAGCCGTTCTGAGGCCAAGTATGTTAAGAAATACTTCTGGTATGGTGTACGTCATAACGTAGTGAGCATGCTGTCGGACGGGTGATCCTAGATACTAAGACATAAGTAACTCGTCCAAGGTTATTACATGACCTCACGCCGAGTCTCGAACACACTACGTTTGCAGTATGTGACGAACAGCATAACTACCAAATCATGCTGTCTTAATAGCAGACATTACATTGATGTCAAAAAACCGCAAGAACTAATTCTTACTTAAATATTATACAAGTAATACTTCTTATTCAAAAATGAATAAATACTTTGCCCCCATTTGACTCATTAGTGTGAAAAACATTTTTTTCTTCTTTATATTATTCGAAGACTTGCGCATTATACGCACACAGTAGATGCAATGATAAATAACCTAAACTACAAAATAAAGTTTAACGACTAAAAATAGTTAACTGTGTTACATACTTTTACGCTGAATCGGTTCTCCGTTAGCATCCGTTAGCACTTGTAATTTTCATGTGTTCGGGAGCATTATCTCAGTAAGAGCTCCACCAAGTTTTTACTACACTGCACAAACATAGGGAACAAAGATTTATTGTTCAAAACTTATGAACTTACTCTATAATTCCTTTCTAAAGAAGTACTGCATTTAATGTTCTTGAAATGTGATCAAAGTTAACCACTACTGTGACGAAAATTCGCCTCATGCAACGAAATTTTGGGTGTGTGTAACAAAATTTACACTTTGATAACGACCGTTCCTGAGGAGTACCTCCCTCCAAGGAAGTTTCGTCATGTATGACAAAAGTACGTTCGTCATAATGACGATAGTGTGATGTGACGAAAGTGCCATAATCCAAACGATAAATACAATGTTCATCCCTGTCTTATGAATTACAGAATTGTAAATTTTCTATTTCTCTGCACCACGTGAACGAACATAGAGACTGTCAATGAGTAAGAGTTCATATTACATACTACTTTCGTTAGATGATAAAGTTTGAGATGCTATTTCCGAAATA